CCCCCCCCCCATTCTGTTTTTGGGAAGATTCAGAAACCGAACTATAGATCTCAAACTCCAAATCCGAATGGTCGCCTTCCTAATCTCCCAGAATCATCCCAAAAACAGAACCGGAGCGGGGGAGGGGGAGCACCCGAAAACAGGACAGATTTTTTCTATATCTTCTGTCCGGTCTGGTGGGCTAGTGGAGTTGTTGCAGACCATGGGCTGCTCCATACAAGATCCAACAGATAAGTAGAACAGCCTAAGTTAGGCAATAAAAGATGGAAGAATAAGGAGAAATCTCTAGGATACTACATCCTGTCAAGTAAATTATTCACAGGACTAGGAAAGTAAATAGAATAGTATATATGGTACGGTTTTCAAAAAGATAGCTCCAGATCAAATTCTTATAGTAGTAGATTGGGCTAAAAATTTGAAAACCATACATGTGTTTATGTGGAATGGGTGTATGATAAAATATTTTGGTTCACCAGACTTTCTTCCTGAGAAGAGTCCCCTTCTAGTTTTCTAATTACAGTGTTCTAATTACAGTATTTTTAGTTTGCATCTTGGGCAAATGGTGGCCCATGATGAAAGAATTGGGATCTTTTCCTTAAAGACCATGATTTGAAAGCAACATCCTCCAATGCGCTTGAAGAAGATGCTAGCTTCTTGCCATGACTGCCTTCATGTATCTGTCAGACTTAGAAGATTTCCAATGCATGTCTATTACTGAATGAAGATGAGCACAGGGAAATATGGACAAAAATGAGAAAATAAAGTGTCCTGCACATTTTAGTATTTAGAGGATGAGTGATAACAGTTGAACAAAAATTATATTAAGGACAAAAACATTATGAATTCTTGAAGACCCAGTGTGCTGTTCTCTGCAGTTTAAAAAAGCTTTAACAAAATTCCACCTCAAATTACCTTGTTGTTAAGAGCTGAAATTGAACCAGCCTCAACCTTCTCTAGCATTTGCGCATTTCTAATAGATCCCTGACAGCGATGTATCTATATCAGGACTTAAAGTTCATTTTGGCAGTAGGTGGCTTGCTGGATCTGAATCATGTGAAGGTCTGTAGGAAGCGGGAAAAGGTCCTCTATGGAAACAATTCTATGTAGTTACCTTGCAGTAGTAATCCTTGAGTGTGTTTTTTTTAGATCTAATGCCAGTATAGCATAATCAAGGGTACGCTGACGGTACTTGGTTCACTTCACACCACTGCAAAAAGGGGAAAATTGCAGGTAGCAATTTAGAATCATAGAGTTGGAACACACGGTCAAAACACTCTGGCTGGATCTACACTGCCATATAATCCAATTTCAGAATGCAGATTAACTACTTTGAACTGGATTAAATGGGTCTACCCTACCATATAATCCATTTTAAAGCAGTTAATCTGCATTCAGAAACTAGATTATATGGCAGTGCATATGGGGCCCACAGTTTGCACTAACTCTATTTGCTCAAACAAAGAAGAAACTTTTCCTTTACAAACAATAAGTATTTTAGGTTTTTGTGGGTCCAGTTTTGCATTAGTTTTGCATTAGAGAGTGCTGAGCAATAACTGCCAGTAGTTTTTCACAAATATATCTCTTTTGGGGATATTTTTCAAGTTTATGAAAATGTTTATTACTATGTTGTTCATTCGTTCAGTTGTCTCTGACTCTTCGTGACCTCATGGACCACGCCAGAGCTCCCTGTCGGCCGTCACCACCCCCAGCTCCTTCAAGGTCAGTCCAGTCACTTCAAGGATGCCATCCATCCATCTTGCCCTTGGTCGGCCCCTCTTCATTTTACCTTCTACTTTCCCCAGCATAATTGTCTTCTCTAGCTTTGCTGTCTCCTCATGATGTGGCCAAAGTACTTCAACTTTGTCTCTAGTATCCTTCCCTCCAATGAGCAGGTGGGCTTTATTTCCTGGAGTATGGACTGGTTGGATCTTCTTGTGGTTCAAGGCATTCTCAGAATTTTCCTCCAACACCACAGTTCAAAAGCATCTATCTTCCTTTGCTCAGCCTTCCTTATGGTCCAGCTCTCACATCCGTAGGTTACTACAGGGAATACCATGGCTTTGACTAGGCGGATCTTTGTTGCCAGTGTGATGTCTCTGCTCTTTACTATTTTATTGAGATTGGACATTGCTCTCCTCCCAAGAAGTAAGCGTCTTCTGATTTCAGCCTATATGTGTAATGGTTTTGCCTAATCATTGTGTTCTGGTCTGATCTATAAGGTTGTACTTTTTGAGCAGCACAACTAAAATCAGGGTCTGAAGAAACTATGAAATTTCAGAACCAGTCAAACAAAGACCATTTGATTTTTAATCCTATGTCAGGATTCACCATATTCCGTCCTGACTCTACCAATGACACGCTATGATATTTAAAGAATACAGACATGACTTATGTTATGATGATATACATATATGATTTACATCAAGGATCCTCAAACTAAGGCCTGGAGGCTGGATGCGGCCCTCCAAGGTCATTTACCCGGCCTTCGCACAGGATCAACCTAAGTATGAAACTACTTGAAAGCACGCAAACAACAACAGTCTTATCTTATCAGCCAAAAGCAGGCCTACACTTCCCATTGAAATACTAATAAGTTTATATTTGTTAAAATTGTTCTTTTTAATTATTGTATTGTTTTTAAGTGTTTTTTGCACTACAAATAAGATATGTGCAGTGTGCATAGGAATTCATTCATGTTTTTTTTCAAATTATAATCTGGCCCTCCAACAGTTTGAGGGACTGTGACCTGGCCCTCTGTTTAAAAAGTTTGTGGATCCCTGATTTACATGATGATAATATTGCTGTGACTTAACCCTTTGTTAATAATGAGATAGGCAGGCATAGAATCTAGATAATTAGAGAAACCTGATGTGCATATATACTAAAAAGTGTAAAGAAAAATTAACATGACTGTTAAGATTTTCTAAACATGGGCAAAAAATGGTGGAAAATCCCAGCCCTATACGAAGTGTGTGTCTTCTTTCAGACAACGTGAAACTGCATGGACCATTCTTTAACCCTTTTCCTTATATTTTACCTTAACAACACATTCTGTCAATTCAAATGGACATGTCCAAACATTTTTGAAGAAAAAAACATTGTACTAATGTTGTTTTGCTGCTTAAAGGCTTTCTTTGTTGAGGTTCATTTCCTCAGTCGGTTATGAAATGGAAGGGTTGAGATTAGGTTCCCAATTTGATCACACTAGCTTTAAAAATGGCTCAAGACCACCCATAATCTATGAAATATAATGAGTGTAACTACGATGTATGTTGAAGGATATGTTGTTCGTATCACCTCAGGTGGTGTCAATTCATATTGAATCAAGTCAGGTTGCATCAGCTATACCCCTATCAGTACTTATTCCTGAGAGCCGTAGATTTAAGTAGATTTAGACAGCAAATATCTCAGCTACTACAAATGCATATAATGAGCAGATATCTGTGAAAGCCAGCTATTTTTAGAGTCTCCAGAAATGCAAACTTTTGATATTGAGCTATACATATTATTCTCGTGTTATACTACTAAAATGAAGTACAAATGTAAGTTTCCTAGCTCTAATAGGTCATAGTATTAAATAACATGTCAATTGGTCATTATAATGCTTGACAGAGCCACACCTTTTCTTTCCCAAGCAACTGTGCATGCTATACTTTTTGTTTGCCATTTCATTATTCCTCTTTGCTCTTCATTTTACATCAAAAATACAACTAACAATTGAAACATAGATTCAGAGGAGTATCGGGTACAGGTTTCACTTCAGAATCCACATGAGAAACCATTACTTTGGATGCATGCCCTTGTAAACATTTTTCTCTGTGTGAGAATATCTAAGATATCAAGGAAATGACCAGGTAGCTGTTATCCTTTTATGCAAGCTTTATATCTGTAAAGATGTAAAGCTTGTCCGTCTGGAATTCATCTCATTAGAGCTTCTTGGTACTCATTAGGGTTTCTTGATACTCGGTATTTGAAAAACGTATTTTTGATTTTTTAAAATATTTTCAAATACTTTTTCTCCAGAGCAGTTGAACTGTAAAGTCTTCTTGGAACTAGGTTCTGCGAATTATGGCAAAGCCAAATAAATTGGGGGCCCTTTCATGCTACATAATTATAGCAGTATGACTCCACTTTAGCTGCCATTCCTATGAAATGTGTAGTTTGCCGAGGTATTGCAGTTCTTTCACTGAGAATACTGAGGATTTCATCCCATGGCTTTAGAGCCCCATTTCCATGTGCTTCAGAAACTGAGCCCCACGGGAGCCCCACAGAGGCCATCACATAAAATAAGGGCACTTCTGGTGGGACTCCAAGGAGCTATGTTTCTGCAGTGCATGGAAAGGGAGTCTTAAAGCTGTCTTCAGGAGTCAGGTCTTACCCAATGCCAAATGGCAGAAAGCGAAGAAAAGATGGACCTTATCATGGAAAGGACATGGGATGGCTGGCCACCCCGGAAAACAGAGAAGGACGGAAAGGAACAGAGTATGACAATATCCTTCACTTTTCCTTACTTTCCCGCTACTCATAGGATGAGGTCTTAAATCTCCCTCCCTAAGCAGTTCTTGCCATGGCAGTTAAAACTGAACCATGACATTATAATTGTGTATGTGGAAGAGTGTAGCTTGAGGACAAGATTGTATAGTTATTTGCCTCCCCTAAAATAATATAATGCAATCTATCCTGGATTCTTTCACATCAGAAACTATTTTCTTTTTAAAAAACTGCTTCCAAATCTGTGTTTTAATAACATGTGGAAAATATACTTTGGCTGTATTCCACTTTGGCCATGATCTACTTACAAGTGGAATAATTTCTGCTGATACCAGCAACACTTGTAAAGGGTTTAGAATCCCGCTGACTGATATGCCATTGTGAAACCCTCAAATGTTGTTTGAGATTTCAAGATTACCGGCATCTCAATCAAATTGATTTCATAAGGTCAATTAGCTGTGTGTTGCTATCTCTATCCTTATTGTTTGCTCTTTTCTTCCTATTTTCAGCTGGTTAGTAATCCTCTAGCAAGTCAAGCGGCGGCAGCAGCAGCAGCGGCAGCCGCCATGGGCTCAATAGCAAGCTCACAGGCCTTTGGCAATGCACTCTCCGGTCTTCAGGGGGTCACAGGTCAACTAGTCACTAATGCACAAGGACAGGTGAGTGGAAGACGAGGGGAAGTAGTGAATTCATGTGGCACACAGGTCTTGGAAAACAAGTGAATTATGTATGCATGCCATTTCTAGCAGCCAATGTGTATGTGTGTATGGCATGGGGACAGATAAATAATGTTTCCTACCAAAAGATAAGAAGGAGAATTGAGTACTGAGGTAGCATTAAGGGTTATATTTGAATCACCCTATATACTCAGGTATAAGTCTAGAAATTTTAGTTTTAAAAAATCAACCTGAAAAACATGGGTTGGCTTTTTTTTTACATGTTAAGCTAAGCTCTGTACTTTAAATCTTATTTTTAGAAGGAACCATCCTTTTCTTTGAGTAGAGTGATGAAAGGCCAGCACTTAGGCATCCCAGGATAATCTAAAAGAAGCACCAATATTTTCTATTTTCTCTGCTATGGTGCTGCTTCTGTGCTTTTTGAATGCCTGGGTGTGGAAATGGTGATATCAGCCCTTGGGGTAGCATTGGTGCTTTCCCCTCTTTGCATAATGTCTTTCAATTTATCCATGGCTCATAGCAAAACGCATAATTTTGGCCCTAAAGCTTATTTTTGGCTTATACATGAAGCCAAATTACACATGAGTATATATAATTTTATTTAAAGGCGACCCACTACAATTACTACGACTTAACATCCTATCTAACATACTTACAAATCAAATTGATTTTAGTAAATGAACACTATAGATAAATCTAGATTCAGTCCAATACTATTTTTAAAGGCATTTTGGTTGTCTTGCATCTAACTGGACAACACAATTTGAAAATGTTGAATTATTATGCTCTGCAATGCCTATATCAGGGGTCCTCTAACTAAGGTCCAAGGGCCAGATAAGGCCCTCCAACTTCATTTAGGCGGTCCTCGCTCAGGGTCAACCTAAGTCTAACTGGACAACACAATTCGAAAATGTTGAATAATTACGCTCTGCAATGCCTATATCAGGGGTCCTCTAACTAAGGCCCAAGGGCCGGATAAGGCCCTCCAAGGTCATTTAGGCAGCCCTCGCTCAGGGTCAACCTAAGTCTGAAATGGCTTGAAAGGACACAACAACAACAACAACAACAATCCTATCTCATCAGCCAAAAGCAGGCCCACACTTCCCATTGAAATACTAATAACTTTATATTTGTTAACATTGTTCTTCATTTTAATTATTGTATTGTTTTAAAGTATTTTTTGCACTACAAATAAGATATGTGCAGTATGCATAAGAATTGATTCATGCTTTTTTCAAATTGTAATCTGGCCCTCCAACAGTTTGAGGGACTGTGATCTGGCCCTCTGTTTAAAAAGTTTGAGGACCTCTGGCCTATATTAATTTCTGACACATCATTGCTCTACATATCTCCCATATTACTAAGGTCTACTAAGGTCTCCCACTGAAATAAATGGGAGTTAAGTAAAAATTACAACTGTTTGTGTTTATAAATAAGTTGTCCCCCTCCAACTGAGTGAATTATAGCTCTTCTCACAATAGCTGTCAAAAATGCTTCACGTTAGTTGGATTCAATCTGTGTTTTCATTTATATCCTGAGCAATTTCTAAATGCTAATACATGTGCTGGGACAATAGTAAAGTTACAAATTACATATGCAAATTATACCGCTTATATTATAGACAGCAATTAAATTGTGTTCTTCAAAAGGGGATCTGTAAAGTGGGAATAAAAATGTTAATTTATTTGCATCAGCATGCCCAGTTTTCATTTAGTTGGAATTACTTTGTGAGGGAGCTGCCAGCTCTTTTCTTCATGCAAACCATGTACTTCTCAAAGTGCCTACAGATGTATTATATAGGCCTGTGTCATCCAAGGCCCATAGGATTGTGCTATTGTTGTTTTTACCACATACTTACAAAAAATATCCTTAAGTACCAACTCTAGCAAAATCACTTTCCCTAAATAGTGAGCTCTGTCCAAGAGGATTGCAGTCAAAATCAAACCATTGAGAAACAAGGAGGCATCATCATGAGAAGAAGAAGCATTCGTATCTTAAAATCATAGTTTGAGTCTAGTGTTTGTAAATGTGTGCTTCCTCAGTTTTGAGAATATAATTGAAAAAATGCAGGAAAAGTGAATTATTCCTCCCTATGATTCAGTATCACCTAGCTGCTTAAACAGGATAGAAGTGATATTTATTTTATCTGTTCCAAGCTTTTTAAATATTGAAAAGAAACCAGCCTCAAGCCTGATGTTTGTATTGGTGTTTACTCTGTTTAATCACGATTAACATAAAACATGAACAAAGATGAATCTGACACACACAGTCCTCATATATAGGTCCCACAAGGAAAAAATGCTGACCTTGTTATATTTACTGGGTGGGTACAGAATTGTTCCATCACTACCCCGAGGGTTGAACGATGGAGCTTGTCAAAGTGAGACCTTATCTAATGAATCATCTTATCGCAGGTGCACACCACACATATTAAAGGAGGATTGCACGACCAGTGTGCCCTCTACAATAACCTTTCAGTGTCTGCTTTAACCCTTGCTTCAATCCCTTTTCATCAAAGAATCATTTTATGCAGCCAGTTTTAAAAGGAGGCTCTCAAAAGCCTATTAAGTTTTCTGTTAGGGACATATTATTGGAATAGAGGAAAAGTTGGTTACAGTACCTATAACTCATAGTCAGATCAGCTCCATCTAGAAAGCTTGCTTGTTTATATCTGTACTTCAGAAATAGTGCAAACTCTCCTCTCGCAGGAGTCTGTGGGCACATGGGACATAAATTTAAGGCTTAGAGATATAAAACCATGACAGTTTGTCAGTCGAAGGGATTTCTCCCCACCTTTTTCAAGCTCTCCCAGGAATAGAAATAATGACATGTGTTGGTAAACTAGTGAGCAATCATATCAGTCCTAGACTGGAATGAAAATGTATAAGAGACTTTCTAGTGGCACTGAATATTTCAGACACCATAACTGGGGGTCCCACAGGTTGTCGCAGTGGGTGGGATTCCACTTTCCCAACAATCAATGAAATAATCATAGTTCACCATGTTTCCAGGTACAATTCAGTGTAACATGTATAGTAAGACCCTCCCATATCCACGGGTTCCTGAAACCACAGATACAACAAAATGCCGTTAAATAATATGACTTCTGGTACTATAAAGTTGCACTGGAAAACCTAGAGATTCCTAGAAATACCCTCCCTAAGAATGTGTTAGGCCCTCCAATGCCCCCAATGGTAACTTTTAGGGAAAGCATATCATAGAATCACCTGGAAAACATAGCAAATTCCTAGAGAGACCATTCTCACCTCCTGGCTTACCCCTTGGGTAAGCAAAACAGCAGATATTCTGTTGTTGCCTTGCTCACGATCCCACCTACATCACAAGCGCGATTGGTGGGGACGAGGGATAGGGCTTTCTCTGTGGTGGCCCCTCAACTCTGGAACTATCTCCCCAAAGACATCAGGCAGGCTGTCTGTTGTTGCTGTTGTTTTTACTATTGTATTTGGGCTTGGCCTCTAGTAAGCCGCACCGAGTCCTTTGGGAGATGGTAGCGGGGTACAAATAAAGGATTATTATTATTATTATTATTATTATTATTATTATTATTATTAGTTATCAGGGGTGTCTTACTATACTGTTATGTATGAATAAAGGGTCAAAAAAGTACATGAGATGCCTGATATGCTGAGTCCTATTATGTTAGACTTTTGGGGACCTTATTGGTAGCAAAACAGGACTAGCATTGTAGATAGAATTTTATCAAGTTTACTCGTTTGAGAGAAAGGGGGACTCTTCTGTAGGTTTTTTTCTTGTTTTTCCTCCATTGACGTTATTATTATTATTATTATTATTAACTTTATTTGTACCCCGCTAGCATCTCCCGAGGGACTCGATGTCACTTGAGACTCTAAATCCCATCGAGTGTTCAATAAAACTTTTTTGTGTAGCTCCTTACTGAAGTCTCCTGTCCCTCATGATACTGTCCCTATTGACCCTACTTTTTTAAATTTTAAAAGATTAAGGATGTTGCTGGCCTACTGCGAGTATTGTAGTAAATCAAGAAATTGGTGGCATTAGAACTAGAATATCAAGGTAAATAGACCAAATACCTTGGGTTGCTTTAGATTTGAAATGCCACTTCTATTTACCACCAGATAATCAACACTGAGCCCCTTGAGGTTTGGTTTTTTAAAAGTAAATTGGGCTCTGAATTGAAACAGTAATTAACATGACTGCAGTAGAGCTGAGAATTATCCTTATGCTTAGCATTTTGGTGGATACTCCAAGATATTGGATGCACTGAGTTGTGTGTTGAAAATATATTCTATTAGACTTTCAGGATAGTTTGATACCACCAAATTCCACAATACATTTATACAAATGGGAGAGGGGATGATGAGATCCACTGCTCAAGCACCAGAGTAATTGAAAGATCAACAGACTAACCAAAGTTGTAGTCCCTGTCATCACAAGAAACTAGACAGAAGCAGGACAGTTGCAAGCAACATACTGAATTGCTGGACCAAGGTAAAAATAGTGGAAGCAAATTATACTTCTCCTAATAGTATTTGCAGGGCAGTAGATAAATTATAGTTAACTCTCAGTAGGGATTAGAAGAATACTTGCTATTTGTTTCTTGGGAGTAAAATAAAAATGGGGGAGTGTCTCAGCCATCAGTAAAACCCAATTGGGAAGAAGCATGACATTTGCGCGCACACACACACACGCCAGGATTTTCTTATCCCAAAGTATTTCAGTAAAATATTTTGCATATAAATGCATGTAGGAGTTTTGGGTTTGATGTACAAAAACAAATTTTAGCACAAATGTTTTCTGAATTGTGAAGAATGGGGGTGGGGATTTCAAAACCAACAAGAAGGCTGGATTTTTTGGCACACAAAAAAACTTTTTCTGTAAGTTGGAGGGGTTATGCATAGTTCTGCTTTCTCTGCTAACCCCCACCTCAGAAATACCACTTTTGAAAAAGAAAGTTCTTCTCTTCTATAAAGAAATCATGTATA